AACGCAGTCTCAAGAATCTAGGTTTTCCATATGTGGACCTATTGCTCATCCATTGGCCGACACCTCTTAAACAAGTGGACGACGACTTCTACCCCCAGGACGCCAACGGACAGGCATTGTTTGATGAATCCATACAATTGATTGATGTCTGGAAAGAGTTTGAACAGATCAAGCGAGATGGTATGTGTGCTGATTTATTGTAATTATCCTTGCTTATACTTGTTTGTTATTGGTGATTTTCCATGTCAGTAATGTATTATCTAATTATTAATTGTATAACATTTTGGTATTAATATTTTTAAATTTATTTATTAGTAATAAATAAATTATTACTTGATAGACTAGTATTAAACAATATTTATTGAATTAATACTAAACAGACATTAATTTGTTTGGCATTGATTGTTAGACTTGTTATTAATCGTGTTTAGCATTTATATATAAATAATATTTTTAATTATTCAACAAATATTTATAAAAGGAGATATTTATGAGTTTTATTTTTATATTGTATACAATTTCAAGGATATATTTCTGTTTTTGTCAAATATCTTCATTTAAAACTCATTTCTAAACATTTAAGACAAATATCATTTAACAGAAGGAAAATTACTGCCAATTAATTAACAAATATATGGCAATAAATTTCTAAATCTTTAATAAATTTATCGTAAAATTAAAAAATAATAATTTTTATTTAATTTTTAGCAGTTTTAAGAACTTTTTATCAATTAAATAAATACAACAGATTATCATAAAAGTTACTGTTAGCAATCAGAAGGAGAGTTTGTTTTTCATGGTGAAAAGTTTATTTTATTATCACTAAACAAATAATTATCAATTTATATAAGAAAAATCCAGATAAGAATTTTTCGATATTAATTAAATAGTAATAATAAACAGTAATTAATTGCAATTAATTTGTAAATTAACCTAAAATAATGCCATTTGTGTGCCACAGGTCTTACCAAATCAATTGGTGTTTCAAATTTTAATTCGCAACAAATCGATGACTTGATTAAGAACTCGTCAACAGTTCCGGCCGTAAATCAAGTGGAATGTCATCCGTATCTAAATCAGGAGAAACTGTTGCAGTGGTGTCGCCAACGGGGCATCCATTTGACCGCATACTCACCGCTGGCCAGGACTGGAACCGTCGAAGAGAAGAACACCACTTCGCCGCTCGACATACCGTTGATCAAAGAGTTGGCCGCGAAGTATGGCGTGAGTGCGGCCGCCGTTTGCATCAAATGGCAGACACAGAGAGGAGTGGCAGTGATTCCCAAGAGCGCCACCAAAGAGCGGATCGTCGCTAACATCGATATATTCCACTTCAATCTGACCGACACCGAAGTGCAGGCCATTAATGGCCTCAACAAAGACTGGCGTAACAATACGTGGTCGCAGTTTGGCATCAATAAGCACCGAAACTGGCCCTTTCATATTCCCTACTAAACACATCCCTGTGTTTTCACATTTATATTGATGAATTATGTAAAGTTATAATTCATATAAGCCTTGAACGAGCAGTTAATCAAAAGTAAATAATAAAAATAAAAGTGCAATAAAAATAAAATTTAATTAAATGTGTATTTTTTGAATTTTTTTTATTGATTTTTAAAACTAATAAAAGTTATTTGGTTAGCGATGTGTTTCCACTAACGATAATAGTTGTCTAGAAATTATTAATTTTATCCAAATGTTGGTTATTTTTATAAAATACCAACAAAAACAAAATACAAAACAATTACTACAAGTAATACAGCAATTATTGTTTTTAAAAGTATTTTTAAAATTTACAATTATTAATAAACAATAAAATAAATAAAATGTACACATAATTATAAATTTCAGTGTCATTTAAATTCTGGTCACCGTTGAATATATGTTGAATGGCAGCCGAAGACACGACCACATCGTTGTGAATGAAATTAACAAATTTAAATTTCATATATGCAAGTTATAAAAGAAAATGATCATTTTATGGTTAAATATTTAGTGTAATATTGGATATCACAGAGTATTGGCTTTTGGCATTTGTTTTAGACATAATCGCCACAAATGTTCAAAAAATATAGTGATATTACAGACAATTCATGCAACAGTCCAGAGATCCCTTCCTATCCCTAATCTGAAAATGTCAAAAATGAAACAAAAAAGTGTATAATTTTATTGAAATATGAGATTTTATTGCAAATAACTTTCTTTATAAATCAATTCATACAATAAGTCCGAACTCTTTCGCTAAACTATAGAAAATAGAATCAGGTTTTTTGAGTAAATTCTTCGGCGAATCCATTTCGACAATCATTCCGTTGTCTAAAACAATAATCTTATTGTAATCCAAGACTGTATTCAATCGGTGAGCGATTGTCAGAACAGTGCAGTCACTGAACTGTTGGGCAATTGTTG